CCGTCTCCCAGAGCTGAATAACTTTGTTCGTGAACTGGCTGGTGGGCTGGAGCTTTTTGGCAGTAGCACAAGCTTCCACCTGAGACGACGAACAACGCACTCTCCCTCATGACCCAAGATCGCTCGATGTCAATCCTTGACTCGGAAAACGAGAGTCTACTTCCACTTTCGTGAACGAGTGAATCCGAATCAGTTCGAGCGGACGTGACGATCAAGTAGCGAGCCGAGAATCACGTCTGCCTAGCAGCACGCTTTATACAGCACATCAGAGTACGACAGAAGCTCGTGAAAATTGAGGCCCCAAATCGAAAATTATTCACATCACAACTTGGGAGTTCTCAACTATCCGCCATCACACGTCTACCCACCTGAGCCATAAGCGGGCCATAGTCACTCGGAGGGAGGTGCACTCCGGGGAACAAGTCGCCGATAATGCCCTTGAATAGGGGGATATCCGCACTAGTGAACTTCGGCAAGTTCACGTCCGTGAACGCTCGCAAGGAGATGACATCCTCAGGGAACTGGTCGCCGTATTTCATTTTCAATGCACCAGCGGCCACCAGAAGGGACTTCAAACCACGCATACCAAAATCGTAGTGATCCTGGGCAGACAACTGCTCCGAGGAAAGCTTCAAAGCCTGGGTTGCCTTCACGCCGATACGTCGGGCGTCTTCGTAACTACACAGAAGTCATACATGATCAGGCAGGGGAAACCACAGTGTTGATCAATCAATGTGGTCATTCGCGCTTCTCTCTCGGAGACGCGTTATCGCAAGGTGTTTCACTTCTAATTTCGAAGATCATCCCACCCCGATCAGTGCACGTAAGCTTTTGTTTGTCCGACGGGTCCGAGACAATCTCAAAATGGCCCCAAGGTTCGTAATCCAGGATTCACCCACGTGAAGAGAGAAGCTAATCAACACGAACGCCCGGCTCGATGAACTCTGTATTCTGGTGGGGACTCAGTTGTCACCCCGACGTTGAATGATTTGTCACAGCAGTTTCCCTGCAATGAGACCTACCCGAAGGAGTAGAGGGTAATCTCAGCAATGAGCGCGTAGTTGGGAACCATCATAGCGCAGGGACGGAAGAGGGCCTTCAGGTTGTCCGGCAGTTCAGAACGGCCAGCATAGCCAGGATTCATGGTGATGTTCACAGCGCATGAGGGGATCAGCCTGAAACAATTTCGTGGCGCAGCGGTCACGAATTGTGGGAACCAACCTGATCTCGGTGCCCTCGAAAATGAAGGTCTTAGCCTTCTGTTTGATCGCAAGTGAAATACACTGAATCTGCTGGGCGATGACCGACAACACCTCCAAGTTGATACGGTTGAACTCGTCAAAACAGCACCATGCACCCGAGCTTGCCAAACCTGCATGAAATCAAACACTCCTGCTTACCACGCGTACCACGAGCAGACATCAGAAGCTAATTCCTCACCTTTGAAGAATTTGGCCATCTGCATGTAGTCCATACCATCAGAGCAGTTGAAGACCACGCACTGAATCGCCAAAGCCTTTGCGAGATCCTTGGTAGACTCGGTCTTGCCGGTGCCCGCGGGTCCTTCTGGAGCTCCTCCATAATACAAAGCGAAAGCTCCCATCAGTGTTCTATAGCAGCGATCAGTCAGCGGTGTGATGACTAGTCTCGGAGTGTTGCCGAGATACTCGAAGCCGTAAAGCAGGGTGGAGTTCACGATCGACACTTGGCATTCTTCCTTCGTGTTCATCTCCCCAGTGTCGATTCTCTTGAAGCTGTTGGGCTCCTTCCAGTAATACCGGAGCTGACTCAACCAGTCGAACTCGTCGGCGGATTCCACATTGTTTTTCACCAGATCACTCACGACATCTCTAGCGTGGACATCAATGGTGACCATGGCCCCCAACGTGACTCTGGCCAACTTCGACAAATCTCCTCGCACAAGCTGTACGATATCGAGCAACTGCTGATTGAGTTTCTTTTCATAGTCTGCAACACGCTTGCCGTTCAGCGCCTCTGTCACTTCCTTAGTCCAGAAAATGCAGTTCGTTGCCAAAACCACTTGGCCAGGATAGTCAATGCACCAGGACGTCCGAGGCTTGCAAGCATAGTCCTTGTTGCTACGAGATACCACATCCGTGAGCGAATCTATCATGGTTTTCTCCACTTCAACAAGCCACTTCTCGACATTGCCGCGATTCTCAGGAGAGTCCACATCCACTATTCTCGTGAAGTCGACCACCTCGCCCTCCGCACTGATCATTGCGTTGATTTTTGTCGCTGTCTCGTTGAAACGCACAGAAGCAATGCCCTCGAAGGCCTTCGCCATATGAGGTTGCACCAACGTCGGATCCTTAGTCTCAGCGAGGATCGACAACAGGTCAGCGTCGTTGAGGAAGAAAAACCTGACGACAGGAGCGAGTTCCCGGAAAAACGATGATCGATCTATGCTCTAGTAGAACTCACCTAGGGAAGTAAAGTCGCTTAGTCTCAAGGTAATCCTTCAACCCCTTCTGAATTTTTTCCAAGTTCTCATTAGCATCCTTAAAGTCTTCCACCACGCCCCCTGCAGCTGCCACGCTCAAACAACCAGGGCTCCCCGCGACTTGCTTCATCCTCTCTCGGAACGTCACATCGATGGTCGCAAAACCGCTGCTTTCTTCCGGCAATTGTCGTTTGATATCTTCTGATAGGAATATCGGTTCCAACTGCATCCACGTGCGCTGCACCGCCAGGCACTCATCCACGTAGTCCTGCAGGTACAACAAAGTGACTTCCCATTGGAGCACATCTTCCTCGAACGGCTTGCAAAACGGGGAGGATCTGATTGCTTGAGTTTTCACAATGTGGTCATCCAGGACGGCTTGTATTTCGTCGATTCCCTTCAGTATCGGGCACCCAGTCTCCTTATACAGTGTCGTAGTGAATTCTAGCGGAGCCCAATCTTTCTTCATGGCAGCCATAGCCTTCTTCAGAGAGTGCTCCTTCTGTGCAGCTGCGGAAATCTCCTCGAAATTCTCTGCGAATTCAAGAACGCCCTTTTCGAGCATCTGATGCATTCGAATGTCATCGTAGTCAGCGAACGGCTCGATGCCCATTTTCTCGAAAAGTTCATCCCAGTGTCTCGGGAGGATGGCCTCAACGCAGAAGGCCCTCAGGAAGGGGAATTTCACCCTAAACTCGTCTATGCCAGACTTGAGATCCTTGGCGACTTTCTGAGCCTGAAAAACGACAAATCGAGATATCGGGAGGAATGCGACCACCCGTGACGTACCATCCTAGTGTTGTCAGTGTCGAAGCCTTTAATCATCTTATAGCACTCCTTAAACCAGGCGTCCAATAGCTGCTCCACTTCCTCAGCGTTGATCGACTTCATGGGATCTTGCTGCCACTTCAACTGACTTTTCTGGAAACTTATCACTGTATTCCACAACCTGACAGGATCGCACACAATCAACCGAGCCAAACAGGTCCGCTCAGAATTTCATCGTATTCACGTTGAAACCGCTCACTTGTAGTAGCTGGCATAATCGTCGATCATGCCGTCGAGATCCCAGTAGTCTGTCGGCGTTAGTCCCAACAGAGACGCTCTCGCTCGGAATGATTTTACTCTCTCCACTCCTTGGTCCAGAGCATTCCGGAGCAACTCGACATTGCCTTCGTACTCCGAGGCCCCCTTGCTGTATTCGTTGTAATCGTGGCGGATATTGTCAAGAATCTAAACATCATGGTGAGCATGCCTGTGAGCCCTTGCCGAGCATGTCGTCAGCCACCAATATGTGAATAATTCGCGCACGATTACACCGGGCCAAAACATCAGATCAACTTCGAACAAACACAGCGCTTAGGGGTAAAAACGCTCGCCAGTTTCGCTTCCTTATGACCTTCTGCCATTTCTTCATGTCATCCTGGAAGACTCCTTCTTCTCCCTCCAGCACCGCTATTTCCGCGATATTCCTGTTCACCGTGAAATGCCACAGCCGTATCGTGCCGTCGTCACTGCACGTCGCTAAGCACTGGCCTTGCGGAGTCCATGTCGCGAACCTCATAGACGCTATATGCCTGATGCAAGTGAGCACACAAGTAATGCAGAACCCATCAATGAATGTGTCCTACCCAGGCATGGGCTCAGATCTCGGCTTCCCAGAAACAGCACTAAACAGTTGTACGAGAACGTCTTCGTTGGCAGAGACAAGTGTTGACCCATTGGGAGACCACGACTGAGAAAACGACAACATATATGAATCCACATACTCCAACATTTCTCTGTCCAGATAGCGGTCGGCATTACTACTATGTAAGGTGCTCGCCGTGAATTTTAAATTCGACGCTGAATTTCTGACTTGAGGTTCAACTTGTGGTCAAAAAGGTGTAGAAACGATTGGTAGCACTAGATGACGTACAGTGTGTGTCAATCTGATGTGCAAATATGGAAAATGCGTTTTTTTTCGGAGAGTAATAAGAATCGATCTGGGACTATATTATATAAACAATGTGAACATTGGTATGAACATGTGATGTGATAATGCTAACCTTCCTAGACTATGATAGCGACAAGTTGTTCACTATAATTGATCCCAGAATAGAAAACGTGCATTCTCCACATTTGCATATCAAATTGCCACACACTGTAGTTCACTTCCAAGCTCTAACCTCTCCACAATGGCAAGCACTAACCTCACGACAACACAGAATATTACCACAAAACTGCTGAGGCACTGTATGGGCTCAATGTGCAGAGAGTAGTCCTTCAAATTCCATACCCTGATTGTTGCGTCAGTGCTCGACGTTGCCAACAGATTGCTGCCTTTCACAGGGCACAAGGCAACGCACGAGACTCTCTTATTACAATGACCTGATCAAACATACAGTGCTGAGTTCGACCTAGCAGACGAACACTGAATTCCCACCTTCGAAAACCACGGGATCGCCAGGAGATCTCTCAGGTTCCGGAGGGCCTCCTTCCCCCCAACCCTCCTCGGGTTCATCCGGTATAGGCATCACCTTTTCAGGCCCCCTTACAGCGTCCAGTTTCGCAATGTCCCAAAAGCGTATGAAGCCGTCCTTGCCGCCACTCACGACGATATTCTCATCATATGCAGCCGAACAGTCTACCCAAAATTGCTCTATCGGATCGCCAACGCGATTGCATGGGTCAGCAGCTAATGTCGCAATCTCGTCCCCCGACGCCGCATCCCAAATTCGCACTGAGAGGTCGATACCAACAGACAGAATCTTCTTATCTCCGCTGCAGTACGTGAGAGAGTTAACCTCGCCGCTGTGACCATACATCGGCCCTCCATAGCGCGCGCCCGATGTGACATCCCATTGCGCAATACTGCCGTCCTCCAGCGATACCGCGATCAGCTTTCCACTGGCGCTCAGGGCAGAGCACCCAATAGGCTGACCAGCACTGATAGAAGACCGTAGAGTAGACGTCGGGATATCCCAGATACATATGCTCCCGTCTGCTCCTGCGGACACCATAGTAACCTCATCTGTGCACCCAACGAACGGCACCGACTTCTCATGCCCGCCCAAAGGGTCTCCTCGGGGCAATGCGACTGTTGGCCGCAGATAGTACGAACAGACCTCAGGCGGTAGTCGAATCATAGGAGGGTTCTTCGCCATCTCAGAGTCCTCGTCCGTTCCTGGCGGTACCGTCTCCGGCCCAGCAAAATTCAATACGAGGGAATGTGGCGCGCTGGTTGTGTCGCAGAAATACTCCACTTGCAGCTTGTGGTAGCCGGCCGTGAGCTCATTCTCGTATAGTGCATCTTCTTCTATGGCTAACTTACCATCCAAGTATACCTTCGCACACTTGTTAGATTCCACCTGTAGGGCGTACCTGACGATATAGACCTAAGCACAGACCCATATTCACATCTATATTCAAATATTCCAATCCTATCACGAATGATGATAAACTCGCGGGGGAAAAGGTTTTTCCAATGAGGCGATCAAGATGATGCTTACTTAGCCTTCTTTTTTCCGCCACATTTCAGGTTGAGATAAGTGGTAAACTTCGCTGCGAACGACTCGCTGAATCGGTCCGGAAGGTTCTCCCAAGCAGCCCCTGTAGTAGGCTCGAAGTCCAGCTGCTTCTCAACACGGACAACATCGGGCGACTTGTCCTCAGGTATCTTCCCTCGGAATTGTTCACAGAAATATTCTCCCAAGAATCCTGGTTTCCGCACTACCTAAATGAATGGCGAGAAACGTCAGAGTTTTCTCGAACAGATATCTGCAATCCGCTCAGATGCCCACACCATGTGTGTCGAATTAGAATGAAATAGTAGGATGAACTCCGGCTGGAGGGATTTTTACACGGGGGCATGCAACAGGCACTCCTAGAAGTAGTGTGGGGGAATTATACTGTAAAATTTATACACATGGTCATTCACATGCGGAAAATTTGGAAAATTTTTCGTTGGTTTCTGAACACTTCTACCACATTTCGTGTGGAAACTCCTGAGCCGCAACAGCTGAGGAAAGCGAACAAATACTCCAACACTGCCATCAAGAAATGCGGAAAGGATGGATCTGCGCATCTAGATTCTGACAAGCCAGCGGCTCCGTCTCGAAATGCAAGTAGAATTTTTAGTTTGCTGTTTCATTTCCCATGTACCCTCATCTCCCTGAATATTCATCCTCTCCCGTGCCTACCTCCGATTGATCTACAGCGTGCTGAAGGACTGCTGCCGGGACCTTCATCTGCTCATCGTTCGTGTCCGGGCCAGAGTAGAGGAGATTGAGATGATTTTTCGCACCCTCGGATGATGAAAAGAACCTGTCAAATTCAGATGGCACATCCATTTTCCCTATCTACTCCAGCCATCGTGATCTGCTACGAAGCACGAAAATTTTCCACTGGAAGCCGTCACAATTATGTGCGCCAAGCACGGTCATGTCCACTACTCCAATAAAGATGAAGAGTTACAAACGGAGAGCGACGTTGGCCACTCACAACTTACTGAACGGTGATTCTGTGGTTTCCTGGCATAAGCTGCATCGCTCCGCTAGGACTTTCACTCCTGTTATTGACCACCAGTTTGTCATTCACATGCATTAGTGCAGGTCCGCTGCTGTCGAGAGTAAAAGTGTATTCGCCCTTCTTCCCAATCACCAAGAACGCCGACCATCGGACCGCCACGCTTCTCCGGAGCGCCTCGGGGACATGCCCCCAGCTATCCGGACCCTTGCAGATTTCCTGCTCAACGCACACATAGTCAGGACGCAGTGCCATCAAACTAGGCACTCGATCGTCGACGGCTATACCACCAAAGCCGAAATACTCAGTGAAAACGCACTCGGGGAAATCCTTCTTCAACACAGCGCGCTCGCCCGTGGCCGTACTAGTGATAGTCGTCAAAGATATTCTCTCCATTTCTATCATGAGCTTGCCCAAATTCAATTTGATCGCCGTCCTCGTGCGGTCCTCTCTCGGTTGTGCTACGTTCCATGTGCCCACCGCGCCCGAGCGGAGTGAGCACATGCCGTCAGCTTTGAGAACCAGCTCATCCTCAGTCACCTTTCCCGTCGGCTTCCACTCCCACACGCCACAGAATTCCATCACTGCATCGCTCTCATCCTTCGGACGCACCCAATGAGCCGGCACTTTCTTATCCATCCCGCCGTGCGAATACGCGATATCATATGTCCCGTTGGAGTAACTATCCTGGATCTTACCGCCGCACCAGCGCCCCTTGCCACGATAGTTGACCATCACCGCATTCTCAGCCTTCAACCGTTTCATCGCGAACCTGAATTCACACTCCCAATTTTCTGCTGCCACCACTCCTCACCTGCCATCCCAAAAGGCCTGGTCATATTCGAACTTCTTTTGGCTCTGCAACACGACTTGGAAGCCTGACAGTTCATTCACCCGCCGCTTCGCAGTCTCATCTTGTGCCAAGTTGTTCAAAGCTCGAGCCGCTTCACCCTGAAACAATACATCCCTAGACAAAATCTAATCACCGCATCGAAGAGTTACCGTCCATGGTCAAAAACACAACCAAAGGCGCTCAGATTACCTGCAGAAGCGCCGAGTCTGTGTGATTGTTCATAGCCTCCACAACCATCTTGATCACACCAGCCTCAGCGAGCTTACGGCACAGATCAACATCCTGGGCCAAGTTAGCGACCGCCCGGCACGCGTTTTCTGCGACTGCCGGGACGCTCATAAACTGCTGGAATCGCTCCGCTAAGATCTCAACGCCGCCCTCTCGAGCGAAGGAGGACCGGACTCGGCCACCATTGAGTGTTGACGGACTTGTACAGTTCGCCAAACACTGCAAAGCCGCGGCAGCCTGAGCCAGGAAAAAAATACTCGGAAATTTCACCCGACTTTGAGTCGCGCACCTCCTCGTCCTCCTCACAGTGATGGAAGAGATACCGCACCACAGGGTCCACGTTTTGCACAGCCAGGATGGTCGTACGGGCCGCCTGCGGTCGCCAATCCGGGAAGCTCATGACACTCAGTAGGTCCACAGCGCACGCAGCGTCGCAATTCTTCCAGTACCCCACACAATTCGGCCTGGCAAGAGAATTCCGTGCAGTCAGGTTATGGAATTATACAAGGCCACTTCTCACCTCGAGAGAGCCGGGCGGATGCTCTCTGGTGCCTTCAAGATCTCCGTCAACATGCTCGCTGTGTTACCCACATCACTGAGTATCACTATATTGCCGCCTGCTTCTTTGGCCTCCTGCACATCTTTCTGGACTTGTATATTCTCGAAAACCCCCGGTCGTAGAATGACAACGACGTTCAGGCTTTCGGCGCTCTTGCTGGGAACTGAGGGATCATTCTCAATCCTCACCAAGACAAACTCAGTTCGAATAGACGGCCCTGACGCCGGCGAGTAAGAATCCCCGACTCACCTGCCATCGGGTCCGCTTTGGGTGCTGCCTCTTTTTTATTATCCTTCTTCTTGCTATCTTTCTCTTTTTCCTTCTCAGCCAAATAGTCGATACACAGCATCGCACGAACCTTGAACCACCATAACGCAAACCGATCGTCACCAACAGTATGGGGAAATCTGTAAACCACAATATGAAAATTCTGCGGAAATTTTGGGAAATTCTTGTTGATTTTTCACACTTCTGCTCTAATTCGTAAAAAAGCTCCTTTGTTTGGGGAGAGAACTCCTGAGCCCAGCTGAGGAAAGCAAACATATAGTCCACCACTGTTCACAAAAATTTTCAGCATCAACAGACTTCTTCCCGCCCTACATTGGGAGTATGGTCCCTGATACTCTTGATCAAGTCTAGAGCCATGCAAGTGCCCTCCTTGGACCGATCATGGCAAATGAACAAGTCGTACCTGAAGACGCAGTGGTGAACCAATAAGGGTCCTCAGTCTGAAGGAGAGTTGCGCTTCCTGAGCAATTCATGATATCCACGGAGTTCAATAGCAATGTAAGAAAATATGCACATGGTCACCTACATATGTTAGTGGCAAGATGAGATTTTTGAGCGGAAATTTGTAAAATTGTTGTGCAAACTTCTATCCGAATTCGTATATAAACTGCTTCAGTTACTGGAAAAACTCCTAAGCTTAGCTGCAGAAAGCGAATATATATTCCACAAAACTCAAAAGCAGTCTTACGTTTTCTGGAACCGCTTCCCTTTGCCCATATGCTTAGCCTTGTCCACCAAATACTTGTAATGGACACCCACATCCCTGTCGCCCTCTAATATACCTATCACGGTGAACATCAGGCTACTACAATGTGCGACATAAAGAGACTTGAAATTCTCCGGGACTCTTACCCATTTTCTTGGACACATAGGCATGGTAGTTGTAGAAAGTGGTGAATGATATCTCGCTGTCCAAGGGTAGTCCCGGGTAACTGATCATCACCACCAGCCTGATGCCTCCGGATCAGCTCCAGTGCTTACAGCATGAGCGAGTAGATCCTTCTGCTGATCATCTCGCTGTATTGACCACCGAGCGTCTCAGTGACGACCTAGACATGATGATCAGCGGCGCGCAGCCGGAAGATTTCCAGGATGCTTACCCTGTCAACCTTGACAAACTGGTTCCAGTCGATCACGCCCTTCTTTTCGGTATCATACAGCTCGAATAAGCTTTTGATATTGGTGTCAATATCAGAGGGCACTTTCACGTTCTTTATAGAGTCTTGCTTAGCCACCTTGTAACTGTAAAGGCCAATGAGCAACCGAACCGCCCAGGTTCGATCCCGCCTCCCTACATCTCCATGCGCCCATCACTCGGGAGCTCCATTGCTTTACTATTCTTATACTGCAGCCGGAATGACGGTACCCCAGCCGCCCGAGACCTGAATCGCGAGTCGAACGAGAGGCAACCTTCCCGAGAGCCAACACGTGAGCCACTATTCCACAACGAACCTCGGTGACTTGATATCATCCATTTTCACAATACCCGGCAGCAACAGCTTCCTCACACACGCTGCGGCGTGCTCTTGGATATACGAGTATACCGGGGATCTGAACGACCATCAAAACACGGTCAGTGCGCGTATGTCTCACCTATGAAGGCAGTCTCTATGGACAAGGTCTTCACAACGTAACAGCTCAGCTTCTACTCCATCTATAGCGTCCGTCACGATGTGCAACAGAGTGATGTGAACCTGACCGACCAAAGGGAGTTGCCTGAGTTGTCGCGTGCCACGAAATTACCTCCTGCTCCAGCGCCACTCTAACTTCTTCGCACAGTTGCTCATCAGTGAAGCAATTGGACGTCACCAATATGATCAAGTTGAACGACTCTCTCACATTAGATATCTGTCATCACCAACAGTTCTACACCAACCCCCTGGAGGATCTTCTTACTACCTTACTACTCCCCGACATACTGTTCAGTCCAGAAGCACTACCATTATTCAGCGCCACGGACAGTGCCGGTGCAAGCACACTGAGTTGCCTGAAAACCAAAGAGGACTCTGATCCCCTCTGAATATGTCTGAAACCTTCCAAACCTACAAGCCATTCAAAATTCCATTTTTTCACCGAGGATTTTGCCAATTAGAAAAGCGACTATCGACTTCATGCGTGGTGCATCTAATCGTGCTACTCACTCCAACGATACCATAGATACACTTTATAACAGACGATTATCACTATAAGCTGCATCCAGTTGAATTCGTGCTGATACTATTCGCCTACTTATGCAGATGTTCAGCAGTCGCAGGAGCTTTCTCCGACACACAGTGCTCAGCACAGGTTATGCAGAAATCATATCGTTTCCGCACTGACGACCGCATCCTTGCCTTCGAGACCTGATCACCGACAGTCAACACACCGTCGAATTTGCTGAATTTCCAGAAACTCGAGCGACCCAAAAAGCAGACTCGTATACACATCCACTACGATGTCCCAAAGAGACCTCGGGTTACCACAACGAAGAAACCCTCCCAAGTTTTCACGCGCGTTCCAAGCGAGAAGCGAATTTATCAAAATGTCGGAGAAAATATTTTGAAAATCATCTTCAGCGGTGAGTCATACCTTAGCGCCAAACCGTAGAATGTCCTCCATAACCTGCCGAGATCTCTCAGCGCGCACGTGGTCTATCTTCTCTTGATCGCTTAATTTCAGCAAGGTTAGCAGAAGATCATTGCATTGGTCAACTAGATCCGGTACCTAGAGAGACGACTCGCTAATACCCACCGTTATAGAACGGTAGTCCTGGAAAAAATCTGCTGTGCTACACAGTGAGAATATTCTCTCGAGTTGATCGAGGAACGATTCCATATGCGAGACTCCAGGACAAGTAGAAAAGCCTTCTACTATGATGGACAATTTAAAACGCGTGTGGTTACATAAACAACGTTCTTCTTTCCCGCCAGAGTTTCCCTATACGATTCTGGAGCAGCCTCGAGAGCTTCCGTCAGCGCAGGGCACGTGGCGATCCAGTGCAATAGTATCTGGTCATATAATGCTATCATTGGTCGAGACACTCTTCTTCTTACTATGTTCTTCTTGCCCTCTATGGCTTGTTTCAGTGCATCAGCCACGAGTTCGTTCTTGAAAGTCTCAGGACCACCTAAAAGTAGTTTTTTCTATCAAATTTGGGCATGGCTAGACTACAGATGAGAAAGGCAACATTCTGAGACTTTATGGCGTAGTCGTTTTTGTCTGCCTTGGGCTCCTGGACCTACGATCAAGCCCACTGGTTATCGAGCAGATGCCAGGAGCTGCTCTCACTGTGAGTCCCAAGATGGTGAGCATGCTCCTGTAAATGGTCATAACATTGTGAGCAGACTCCAGGCACTCCGTGTCGTGGACTAGTATCAAGTCGTCCGACATTCTTTATAAAGTAAGTCTGAGACCACACCTCCAGCACCATTGCAAAGTCGGTCTGGTCGTTCCTAGCCTGGATCACGAGCCTGACCATCTACGAACTAGATGCACTCGTGAACTTGTTGCTGCACATATGGTCCGCCTCTCACCCGACAGCGACCAATTGAGTTCTCGGAGGAATTTCGTATTCTTCCGTTCGTCAGACTATGCCCCATGTCAACTCGTTATCCGATGCGGCTGGATTTCCCATGAGCCATAGTAGCATGTTCATGGCGATCACTTCCTGTAGCCCCCATTTCCAACCACTCGGAATAATTTAGGGCGAGCGAGATTTTTGCATGCGCTCTGTCGAAGGGAATCCAAGTATGCAAGGTAGATTTCATATTCAAATCGAGAATTCGAGGCTTTAGACATTGTCATCTTCACCTCAATATTGACCGAAGACGAGGAGCTTGCCGAGGAGAGTCAGAGCGTTCGACTATGTGCTGCCAGCATCCGATTGACTGTGTCGAGTTTGAACCTACTACTGCTTGCCATGTGTGCACTGCGTGCGGTGAAGTCATCTCGGACGTCTCGACCTGTGAAGGCTTTGTCGCCGGCCGCGATAATGGTCACGATGAATTCCAAAAGGAAGGCGCCGAATTTATCAACCTCTCGTCCAGTCCCGGCAACGAGCCCACACGTGGGTCCAAGGTGGTGCGCGGTTTGAAGACAGTCTTTGCTTCCTGTGAGCCGTTCGGGTCTGCGCCCCATGGGCCTGGCGAGGCCTTCATCGACCGACACGAACGAGATCTCCAACAAGCGGCTACACAGCATGGTATTGACGTTGAGATGGGCGAACAGTGGCAGAGGCTCTTGGATGTGACGAAGTTCTTTGCTGATAGAAGATATTCCTACAATGAGAAGAGGAACCGGTATTACTTCGGCAGTCCCCAGAATATTAAAATTAGTGTACATGGTATATGTAGTTTCGTTGCGCGTGAACTTGGCTGTGAATCTCCGAATCATCGAGAGCGCTACATAGACGGCGTCAATATGAGCTCGAGGAAGCTAGCCATGGCCGTGCGACGGATCGGCTGGGACATCCGGAAGTATGCCAAGGAGTCCGGCGATCTGGCCGTCGGCCCTACATTCGCTGAGCGCAAGCAGGCCGTTGATACAGCACCTGTGGTGAAACGCGTGGCAGAAGCTCTTGATCGAGTACAGAAACGTCCACGTTCCGATTGATATTTACAGTATGCTGCACATCTTTATCATTTTTCGCAAGGCTCGCTTGTCTCGTTGTAGTGTTTCGGAAGGCTCGCACTCAGTTCCGTTCCATGCCGGGCGATCAAACCCACGTGGCCTGGGGCTACAGGTTCCTCAACAGGGGAGTTTGCTTCACTTCAGGCTACTTCCTGGCTTATGCCTTCTGCAACCCAGATGTTGACAACGTGTAATAACGCCTCGAGCAATACACTGGTATAAGACCCAGTGTAGAAATATATGTTCGCTTTCCTCATCTGAGCTCAGGAGTTTCCTCACTGATTATAGGAGTTTATATACGAATTCGGGTAGAAGTGTTCAGAGACCAACGATAATTTCCCAACCTTTTCCTCGAAATTTTTATATAGGCAGCGGCACATGTAGTCGTCCATGTGTATATTTTTCTTCACTGTTAAGTCTCAATACAGGTACGATGTCTTCCCTCTTAAACGGTCGCGTTATGCGTTCATAAACGCCTATAAAGTGAAGCCTGAAGACCAATACACGTTCGAATGTCGATGGAAGGACTTGGCCCGATACTACCAAATGCAACCTGGTGCGCTAGAGACAGTGATGATACTTTCTATGTCTATATAGGGTACTTGTTCAACAAGCTTGAGAAGCTCCAGAACATACACGATGATGCCACGTATCAGTACTATGACGTGATGCAGTGGTCCACTGGCGAGGCGTATCGGCGGGCGACTATGAAGGCAATGTAATACCAGCAGTGTAGCTGATATGCTCCTCCTCGTCGATGGAAACTTCCGGGGAGTCGATATTGTTCACCTGTTCTCAGACATAAAGAGTTGGTCCACGAGTTACCATGCGAGAAGTACCGCCCGATAATGTAGATTGGGCTGGCTCTCTACCTGTGCACTCGCTTTAGTGCCTTGTTCTTGTCAATGGTGAATCGAAAATGAGCAGATAACCAGCAATAGACCTCCAACTCTCGTGTTCTAGCTATGAAGCGTTTTGATCATTTTTCCTCTCTGTTTTAAACACACCAACTTCCACAGGTATAAGTTGGTGGTTGACGACACTGAGTTCAGTCCCACAGAGTCCGTGGCGGCTCGAGGAGGCGGTGTGGCGCCCAGTTAACTTCATGGAAGGCGTGTTTCTGTTCTTTACCTATATTGTGTCGGTCGTGCTTCGAATCTCCTTTCTATAGTGAGTAAGTATTCGTCCTCACATTCACTATGTCTAGCAAAGTCCTCGGACTGGTCTCTCAAGAATGCCTCGACAAGTTCATGGCCTTCGACATTGAGAAATCCTGTGTGAATGAGTTCATCGTGAACGGCCTCAACATGGTAATAATGGCTCCGCTGACGTGTCTGAATTGCTGTTCTTCAGGGTATCATGGCCGGCGCCTTGGCTGTAAAGATGCCTCAAATCATCAAGATCTTCGCGAATAAGTCCGTGCAGGGTAAGCAGTATTAAACGTTTTAATCACGGGACAGGGAACACTGCTGTAGCAATGAGAATTGTTCAATCTCCGCTGCGGTTCTCGTACGGATCGTTTTCCTTACAGGCATCTCCGAGGCTTCCTTCGCTCTCGAGTTCATCGCCAGCTCTCTCTTCTGCACTTACAACATGCTGATGCGACATCCTTTCGCGGCATGGGGCGAGATGTTCTTCGTTTCCGTGCAGTGTATGATTCTACTCTGCCTCTTCTGGTGAGTCGCTATTCAGCCGGACTTCAACTATGTTTTCTCCAAGGTGGTACGCGCCACAGATAGACCTGCTGCCAAGGGTGCTATTGATGAACATGGGCTCCTTCGGTTTCATGTGGGCGATGAGCGGTCAGATGCCTGAGCAGGTGACTAGCGCGAACTCTGTCGAGTTCAGCACGACCGCTTTCTTCAGTTTTTGCCCCTCCTGGGAATGGCTCCAGCTGTCCTCGGAATTGCAGCGCGGCTACCTCAGATTGCCCTCAACTTCAAACAGGGAAACACTGGTGAGCACAGCGAGTCGTCTATAAGGCTGATAGACTCGTTTTTTCTATTGTAGGTCATCTGGCCTTCCTCACGTTCTTCCTCTCCTTCATGGGTAATCTTGCCAGGATTTTCACGACCTTAAAACAGCTTAATGATCCCGTGACACTGTGAGTCTTCCATGGAGGCACCTGAGAGTATGCATCTTCCTCAGGGCATCCCATGTCTGCGCCGCGCTCTGCAATGGCACCATAGTTGCTCAAATATTGTATTACTGGAGCGCTACTAAGGCCTCGAACGCGCAAGAGGAAAAGGGCAAGAAGGCTAAGAAGGAGGAGTAAATGCAAACTGCTGTCGCCTCGACAACTGGCAATATTCAACTCGAAGTTTCTGCTCGATCTCGCTGGTGCGCAGTGGTCAATGGTTGGTGTCTACAGATGGCTGTAAGGCTTTTTGAAATACGTGTCCCCGGAGCACTCTTTAACGGACAATCCGCTCGAAGTTGGTTCAACATCTTTGCAGGCATCAGATCGACCGTTATTTTTTCTGTATTTCGTGCGAGAATGCTCACCTGAAAGCCTTGATAGACGATAGTCATTGACCACGAGCAGGTATTATCTCGTAGTATTGTCTAGTGAAACCACTGCAGACGATCCCGTAAGCACCCACGAAGCATTCCACCGTAATTGAATCGAACATGTTATCACAGAGAAGATGTTTTTCTGACTATAACCAGACAACTCGACATAGTTCAAGACAACTCCTGTAAATAGTCTCGAGGCCAACTCGTGTCACGAGAATAAGGCCATTCTACTGATCGACGTTCTCCTCCATCGTTTCCTTCAACTCTACTCGTTGGCCCGATCTGATCGCCAAAGGACTCCTATATATCTGCTCACAGAGGAGTGCGCCCACTTTTTTCAATGCTCGCTCGACATGCTTTCCGATGTTGGTGTATATCCTGCGCTCCTCTTCACCAGCTGCATCGATTCGTCCGGAAATGTTGTCGAGCATTTCCTTCGACCGCTGCGGTGACTTATTACGCAACCTGTTGTGGGGCCCAATACACGAGCCTATCCACCACGCATATGTTCATACTATCGATGATCGTACAGAGAACGAGAGGAAATCTATTTTAGCCTACCAGAAAGTTGCCCAGAAGAGGCCGCAGAGAACTTCTTGGTCCATAATAATCTCTTGGGCCGCCTTTTTCTTCTTCGTTCCTTTAGCGCCTTTCTTTTTCCCCTTCATTCAGCTGTGGAAGTCCAAAGCCTGATAACTGATGCCTTGACATGCTCCTCAGGGAATCGGAACTGGTCCCTTTATATAAAACGCAACAGTGAAGTCGAATAAAACCAACTACCTGCTTTCTCGCCTCCTTTGGTGTCGAATGATCAATAACAAGCGCATCAACCAAACTAGTGATGATGGATCATCACCCAACGAACTGTGGATTGAATCAGTCTGCTACCTCAGAGACAGATTTGAAGGTGATCAGATAATTTGAGCATAGTATCGAGACACAACCGTTTTGATCTCTTATCTGACTCGTTTCGACAGCCCGTAACAAAACACAACTGCATACAAGGGTCACCAGTCTAATTCGGCGAGACTCGGGTCTACGGTGAGTCAAGCCGGGAAAGCATCTTCTATACTGCGCTCAGAAGACCCCTCTGTTTCCTGAGGTCAGACTTAGGACTCTGTCCTTTCCTGAGGACAGAGCGATCATAGTCTTCGAAGGTCTAATACGCTTCAGACACGATGTGATCGGTTATAGAGAAATCGTATAAATCGCAGACTTTTCACATTGCCATTTTCAGACGATGGTAAGGCTTCAGACATCAAAGCGATTCCCTTCGCATGCTCCGCTGAGTTCTCGCAGGTGATGAACAGCAGCTGTAACGATGACATCAGCTACGTCTCCTGCTCACTCGAAAGTCAACTGGGTGGCGAACAACTGGGTGGTTATTCTCTCATTCTACGCCTCTAGAAGTAGCTGCCGTTATGCGTCTGGCTCTGACCACTCATCGAGCTCTCAATATCAGAGCTTCCGGCTCATAACTTGGCGGATTGGCGCACAGCCACTAGCGAATGAATGACAGCCTTCAAGTGCACGGCATTCAAAATTTCATAAGCCGCCGACCCAAGACCGGACCGGGTTTCCACAGGTAACTTACCTTTCTTTGCACCACTGCTATCACCGACTTTCCTCAAGGAGAGCTGCTTTGCCCGAATGTCCGTTCAAACGATTCCGCAAACGTGCATCACCAAAGTTGCTTTTTCGATTCTTTTAGAAACTCTTGTTGTTCTCTCGAAATTAGAGAGACCAACCACTTCCCATATCCACTGTTGTGACAACTCAAACAGGAGTGATCTAAAAATAGTATTACTAGTAGCTACAATCGAGTGTTGCACTCCGGCTCAGCAGCCGCGCGAAGTCGAGCAAGAACCGCAAGTAGAAATGCAGCGGACCTCATCACGAGTACGAGTTAACTCTACTGCACTAATCCTGCCTCTGACGGCATCTGGATGATATGAAATACCTATTTATTGTACAGATAAAAAGTAGAACTTAAATCGGGCAACAGACAGCTAACTTCATGCTTCGCTCCGTCGGCCAAGACGAGTACGTTCCTCCGTTTTCTTCTCCCTGAACATAATGCATCATGAACCCGCGAGCCACTAACAACCGTACTTTGCCTCAACCGCCTCTCTCGCTTCCGATCTCAACAGCTTCTGTTGGGCTTCCGCAGACCGTTGAGCCTCTCGCTGATTGTTCCTCTTCTCGATACGAAACCTGATAGGTGAGCGTCTCAGTCGACATACCGTAAATTCTTCTCCTACTGCTGCTCCCGCTGTTTCCTCGCGCCCCACTCCTGCTTCTGTTCTTTGGTGTGTGAATGCCTACCTCCCTTCCGCATGTAATACGCACCGTCGATATACCTGAGGCATAGCCGATTGACTCCTCAGCATAGAGAAGGTGTCCCATCTGAATGGAAACGGGCGCTCGGCAGTATGTCGAAAACCCGGACGGTAGAAGGCACCGCGTTACTCCTCAGGCGCGAAGTTGGGTAACCCTGTCTCCTCAGGAGCGAAGAGCTCCTTGGTAGACTTGAATAGAGACTTCTGTGCAGTGCTACTGCTGCTGCTAATGTTGAACTCGACCGATGGCGCAGCTGATACCATACTCACGTTGTTAGAGGAGCCTACCAATGAGAACGCCTCTGCAGTCAATGCTATGCCTGGCCTTACTACTCGAACCAGAAGACTTAGCCGACTCCTCAGGACTCGAGCTCACGACTGACTCAACGGACCTAGGTAAAGAGCGGAGCCGATGTCAGATTAGACGATTTGCCAGAAGAGTGGTATGGCATTTACGCGTTCGAATATATACTACTCTAAGTCGCGTCGGCCACTCTTATCCTTCTTCTTCCTGCGATTTTTCCGTGCGCCTCCAGAACCGGCAACCGCCCAACCCTCCTCCTCGTGAGCAATCTTGTCCATAGAAAACTTGTCCAAAATCTAGGAAATCATAACACCGGTTTATGACGAGGTGAGGTAAACATAGCTATAGTTGACAGTAGAGAATAAATAGTGATGGGAATTCCACCTCAACTGCAGATCTAATAGTGTTGAGTTCAACAGCCTCGGACCTAGAATCCAAGCCGACTATCTCGTTGCTCTCGACTTTCCACGAAGGATCTTTACAAAGCAAATTTTCATACTCGCACGGAAACGTCGATGCGACTAAAGTGTCGATGACAATAAGAAAATGCTGATGGAATTTTCAGAGGTTCTTGTTGGTTTCTGAACACTTCTACTCGAATTCGTGTAAAAAACTCTCATACATAGTGAAGAAACTCCCGAGCTCAGCCGAGGGAAGCGAGCGTATTCCCATTTCTACATCACTACCAAGGATCGCTGCCTTTCCGTAGCGATTTTCTTCGGGCTTCTGTCTTGACTATTCTCGTCCTCTTCTAGGTGAAAACTTTCTGACCTTTTCCTTGCTGCCTTAGGCGTCATCTTAGGAGAATGATCCGTGATGTCGAAGCTCGACGACAGCCGAGAGAATCGATTCCTGAGAAAAACACGACCTCCACACGCTGACAGACTTTGCCCCAGAATCAACCATATACGGTGTAATCGAGTTCATGATACTATACGATCCCCCGAAATCCGTTCATGGGTGCGCCGATGATCGCAAAACGAGATGTCCCAAAATCGGAGCCCCCAGTGTTCTGGAGAATTCTACGATGATTTCCAACGCCATGAGGACCTCTCCCTGTATTACCGTCGACTTCCATCCGCCATGATGCAATCTAACGAAAAAGGTAATGCCAGGAAATCAAAAAGTCAAAAAGTGACAATATGAATCGATTCGCTCCGCTGTCTGAAACAGCGCAGGTTTTGCACGTGAACTCACCCTACAATGCAGTTGTAATGTCACGATGGGCTGCCAAAACTCACAGCCAGTAAGTCCAGGTTTTCCGATATGTTCATTAAGGCTTTTTTGAGGCTGCTGTACTTTAGGTAGATTCGTCGTCTGGGTTTTTCTTCAATCCCGATGGTGACAAGATCTACGAGGACATTCGAGAGCACTACAGCATAGGACAGGTGAGGAACAGACGAGCGCTCTACGTACTGTCCATCATCTGGACGACAATTCTCACTGGAAACGTCGTATGAGAAAGTTGCTCTCTGGCGCCACGATGCACTCCGCGGTGCAATCGTGCGGGCCAAACTTTCGCAGAGCTGGACGGCTGTTGAAGCACTGTCTTTATCGGTATTGTCTATGAATTTGCCTTTGGCAACAGCAGTCTGGGATCCTCATTTTGAACGCAAACGCATCACTCAGTGGTGTTATTTCTCTGCACATGCCAGGTGCTGGGATCCGGAAGTTTTGGCCAAGTCCGGGTTTGTACCCTCCTGGAAAATGGCGAACGGAGAGCGGTGAAACTATTGGATCAAAGCCAACCAGATAGTGTGCCCATGTACTCTGCACGTGATGCAAGCAGCCGCTGTGATCGTGACAGTGTTGCTTTTTATTCAGGTTCTGTCAGGAGATCAAGTTGCTCCTAAAAGTTCATAGCGAGCACATCATCCAATTCTACGAATACTTCATAGACCATCATTTCCTGTGATTCCCCGTAGTGAGCGAGGTGTCACATCGTGAGATGTCTGCAGATACATAGTCATGGAACTTTGCACCGGGGGCGAACTCCTCAAAAAAGTGATTGAGATGCGGCGCTTCTGTGAAGAGGACGCAGCCCGTGTGTGCCGGTACAATATCAAGCCTTGATTATGACTACATGTTGTTGCTCTCAGTCAGGTCGTGTTGGCCATTGCCGCATTGCATTCGGCTGGTATTTGCCACCGAGACATCAAGGCTGAGAACCTCTTACTCGACGGGAGCGGTGATGTTAAGACGTGCATAGTGAAGTTGATCGATTTCGGCCTGGCCACCAGCGTTCATAGCAGTAAGCCGGCTTCGTGGAGGAGTAAAGATCTCAGAAGTCTACTCGCACCTGAATGTTGTTTTCTCCAGACTTCCAAGTGCCTCTAACGAGGAGGTTGCTGAAAGAATCCCAGCAACCTCCTTCCTGCCTTTGCAGAGAAAATGGCGGTTCACGGCGTAGCGGAGGATCTCCGATGGACTTTCACGGCTATACAATGAATAGAGAATTCTCACTCAGACAGCGTATATTTTTTCCTAAAATTTCAGGACTAGCCTAGCCTTGCATTTTTCATTCCGTTATTGATACTTTTCTCAGCCGGGCGTCTCAGTGAGCTTTGCGGTTCAGCGCACTATCTTGCGCCGGAGCTTCTCGGTCAGAACTACAGCTTTCCCGTTGATTTGTGGAGTCTGGGAGTACTCATGTACCTTCTACTGTACGACTCAGTTGCGTGCGTTTGCGAAATTGAAATTTAACATTCGCTTTTATCCATTCCAGATGATTCACTCGTGACTGATGAACCCCTCCGGGTTGCTTCATCGCTCTCTCATTTGAAGACATCGTCGTGATGCATCCGACGTGTTCAGGTATGGCTACTATCCCTACGACGGGCCGTCTTCGAGGGAAATTATGATGCAAATCTTGAGGAACCGTATCCAATGGACGCATCGAAAAGAAAAGGTGATTTTTCTCCCTCAAACGTCCGTGGCGTTTCAAAATTGCCCATCCTGGCTGAGCTCGCTGTAATGCTCCCTCACCTTCTGCTGGAGTGGAGTTCTCCTGTGGAGCCTGCGAGGGTTCATCTGTCAATACGATCAAATGAATCTGAACACCCGCGTTTGAAACGCGGCGTTTCGGACTTCTTTCTTTTCGATCAACAGTACAAACTCTCTCCGGAATGCCTCAAGTTCCTCAAGGGTCTTCTCTGTCGAACTGAAATTGATCGACTGACAGCAGAGGTAATCAATGCTAGCTTCTGATTAGGAGAATGAGTGCCGGTGGCTCAGGAAGCGTTGGAAGATTCTTGGTTAGTCGAGCCTGCTGATGCCAATGTGGAGTCAGTGACCGTTCCAGTCGAAGTTTTGAGGCAAGGCGGTCTGGAGTTGATCGGAGTTGGCAGTTGGTCGAGCAGCAGCTTATACCGCATCTAGGTCCGCTCATCGCCGAGTGACCGAGTCACGCATGAAGGTTGCACCTGCGATCGAGGAAAAGCGCAATTCCTTCTTGAGGATGATGGACGAGGACTATAGAGAGGTTAGACTATATGACTAATTCAGAAGTGTCATTAAGCCTGAGGACGTTTTGACGATGTTACCAGAACACAGGGTTCTTGCTATTGTAGGGCTTGAGCCGGTGCCAGAGACTCAACCCTACCGCTGTGGAAGAGATCTCTGGTCGACCCGAGGTAGTCCTCATGGAAGGCAATGCCGTGTTTGCTGTTGGACTCAGTTCGTTCGGCGGGACAATAAAGTGATGACAGCACCGAGCAGGACATGGTGGTGAGGCATTCTCATTCTATTCGTAACTGTGGCCAGTCTTGATGCGTTTTCTGCCGATCTATTCATCATAGGGCAACGATGGATAGGTGAGGAAAATAAATCAGAAAAAAAGGTTTGTAGTTTGGGTGTAGTTCATCCTAAACGGCGACTGTTTCACGAAGGATATGTAGGAGCGATCGTTTCGATGTTGCTCACAGATCATGTGTTTTTCCTCGATCATGTGAATGACACAATTCAGTTAACTTCATCGCTGTGATGCAAAGCTGCTGTATCAGGTTTAGCAAGTTCTCGATGAGGTCTAGCAGTCGGGAGATGCAGGGCGGACAGAGATTGTCCGACCTTATCCCTAGTGGAGGTAGAGGACAGCGGCATGTCCGGGAGGCTTTGACGATGTTTTGTCGTAGTTCCTGGCAGGACTGACAGACGCATCAGACGTCGGAGCTCCGAAGCGGACTTAGAAGAAGGGGACAAGGCCAAGCTTCGGGTCGGATTTGCGTATCTCACACCAGTGATGATTTTTTATCTGTTCGGGAAATTGTGCCGTTGGAATCATCGGCTGAAATACTTCTAGATGAGCCTGCATTCTGTTGAGGTTGAGTCTCGTCAGGAAATGTTCGAAGAGTTCAAGCGAAGACGCGAAAGTCTGGCATCCGAGAAAAGTAGCATCGATGACAAGCGACAACCATTACCCATGTCTCTATGTATGTGACGTGAGTGGAAAAGTCTCCATCGAAGGGAGTGTTTTTGTTCCTTTATGAGGGTCTTTGGGCTATCTGGAGTATGTCAGCCTTTTCTAGCTGTGCTTGTCCTGA